CCCCCCCCCCAGGGGATGTTTTTCATAATGTCGCGCTCATAATGTCAAGAGGACGCGGTCATCTTGTTTAGCAACGGATCGTAACTTCGCCGTTGACAAAGAGCTCTCGAGCGATAAAGAACTCTCTCGCTGTTACTCGTCCTTTTTGTATTCCTGTCGAGAGGAAGGGGACGATTACGAGAGAGAGACAGAGAGAGAGAGAGAGACCATGAATCCGTCCTGGCATCGGAGGATGGACGCAAATTAACGTTGACGCCTCGTTAACTCAGCGAACGTGAAACACAGTACTCGCTTGTGGGCCATAATTCATTCGAATTCATGGCCCGTGCTATCTCAGAATGAGGTTCCAGCTGATTCGCCAGCGACACACGCTCGTTTTCCTTTGACCACGTGAACGCTCGCTGACACACGCCGCGATTCGTACGATTCCGCGCGCGAAAATGGAAATCTTCCATCGCCTGTTTTCCAGCAGAGTGCCTCGACGGGTTCGTTGAAAGAAAAGAAACGCCTCTCTTGGCGTTTCAACGCGAACGCGCCCCTTTCCAATTAAATCTCATTGCGAATTGTCGCAATAGTTTATTTCAAAGCTGTCGCGCGCTCTGAGGACAATTGAGAAGAAAAGAATACTTCTATCGTTCGGTGACTTAACTCGCATGTTTTACGTAATTCTTGAAATCTGTGGAATTGAATTTTAATTGATTTCTTGATCCAAAGCTTTCTTTCTCCAAATTTCATTCGTTTTCTTTTTCGTTTAATCGGTCGACCCACAAGCTTCCTCAATTTTCAATCGTAAGCTTCTTCATGTCTTTCAGTCTTGAAAACAGCAGATCGATAGATTTATTTTGTTCGTTTCGTTGAACGAACCAAACGACGGCGAGATTCGTCGTTCGTGAAAAAGCGGCAAGAATCGCGGAACTGAAGAAATTTGACCGAATAATTTACGAGGCTTCACGCGCAGAAACACAACGAGACACCATATGCCGCGATTAATTGCCCGGACGATGTGTCCAAGATGGGCGACACACGTACGCGTGACGCGTGTAAGCGGCGGAATTCGAAAAGAAGAAAGAAAGAAAGAAAGAAAGAAAGAAAGAAAGAAAGAAAGAAAGGTAAAACTGGAAAGTCCGAGGGCAAGTCGACTCGTAATAAATGCGGGACTTGGTCGAGAGAAAATCGTGGTCGGATCGAGTTTGCAATCGCTCGACACCGAGAGACGGGGGAGAGACAGACGGTCGCGTTGACGTGGCTCGATGGCGCGTGCACGTACTACAAACTCGTTAAACGACGTTAATTCGATTTGCATGCGTCTGCTTCGCGATCGAAGGAATTGCGCGTGTCGCGATCGACCGGCTGCATTTCTACGGCGTCTCGCGTGCCGCAGGAGGGGCACGGAGAGTGCGTGAAAAATGTGGAAAAAGCGAAAGAGACCGTGCGAGAAGAAGAGCTCCAACGACGTGATTAGCTTCGATCCGACTTTCCAAGCCGTGAAACTGACGAACCAGCGACGAACTCGGATCGGCAGAGGGCACTCCGTCTGCCTGTTAATGCCGGTTAATTATATTTACGCTGCGCCCCCGACGCTAATGGACCTCTAGAATTTTAATTCGTCGCGATCTTATCGGGCAAACGCTCTGCCTTGGGATTGCTAAACGTCCGTGAAAGGTGTCAGGCATCGCCTGTAAACGATCTATCAACCACGTGTCTGCGAGGAGCAAATATTAACCATAGCCTGTCATCGTTGAACCGTGTGCGTCGAGCTCGGGGTGTATATGTACCTCTGCTGTTTCGAGAACCATCGAGAAAGTCGAACGAAGCTTGAATTTAACCCTGAATTTCACGTGTATTTCGAATCCCGAGATATTTGCCGGTCGCACAATTACCTAACTATCAGCTCGAACAGCTCGAACTGGTCGAACACCTTGCAGTACAGGTGCAACACCCTGACGCAGGCCCACTTCATGCCCGGCCAGGGTGCCAGGCTGAGATCCAGCCCGTCCTCCAGGGGACACTTGCCGACGGCGAGGCCGCGTTTCAGCTCCGCGCCGGAGATGGTTGGAAATCGATATTTCCGATCGAGCATCGGGTTCCTCCTGGTGGTACGGGGCACGTCGACGCCACCGGGGATCAATCCTCGTTTGATCTCGGCGCCGGACAACGTCGGGTACCTGTCCCGACGATCCAACGACACGGCCTTCTTGTAGAGATCCTTCTCGGGGACGGAGGGACACCTGGCGCGCATCGGATCGTCGACCAGAGGGCTGGTGGGTCGTTTCTTCGGCTCGGGGATCTTCACTCGGATGCCTTGAGGTTCCGCGCCCGGCGTCGGCACGCACGACACCCTCACCTCCATCTTTGGGCCCTCCTGACTGCCCGGCCCCTTCGGACTCATCCTGGTGCCCGAGCCCGAGAGCAACGTCGGCGTCGTGTGACGCCTCTGAAGTTTGTCGTTCAGGATGAGCCTCTACCTTCACCCTCTACCTTTGATCTTCATCTTCTTCGGTCGCCGACTCGCCAGATCTCGAGGATTCCCCGCGAGTCTGGTGAAACGAAACTCTCGAGCCGAGTCGAGTTCGTTGCCAGCCAGTTGCCACGATGATTAATCGAAACGAGGAGAAGGTTTCTGCTTTCTGCTTTCTGCTTCTGCTCGTTGATCCGATCTCGTTGCCCGAGTCAGCAGCGGACGAAAGTCCCGAAGAGAGCGTGAGTCATCGAAACATCGCGACGATGGGTGAAACGTCGGCGCGCGATGATCTTTCTCGAGGGACTGGTGGAATTTCTGGAAAATCACGCGCGATCACGTACTTTCACCGGGCAAAAAGCTGGCCGAGAGCGACGCGGATGATCGAACGTTCGTCTCGAAACGTGGCACGAACAAAAAAGCTCTTACACGCCCGGAGTCCATTCTCTCTTTCTTCTTCTCTCTACCCCTCTCGAGAAACCTGTCTCGCGAAACTTGAAGAAAGGAACAGCGACAGAGGACGACAGATCGAACGATCGAGAGATCGTTGTACGAGTTTTACGGGCACGTTTGTAGCAACGATCGCGAAATCGCGGCGGTCAGTTTATAATTTGGCTCGAATGGAAGCAGGTCGATAGCTTGTTTTACGGCCGGCGAACGGTCGGCTGTCGCCAGAAAAATTATTACGCCTAGACGCGCGAACCGACGGGCGACGGGCCGCCCGTTTGAATTTATTTTCATTGCGGAAATCGCCATGGTTCATCAAGTCACGCGGTTATTTATAGAGAGGATGATCCTCTGGTGATAATTGCGCGTGTTGGCACGAAAAAGGACCGAAGGTTACGCGTGGAAGTTCCGTTCTCGATCGAATCAGTCCGGCAGTATAGATCGCGAACGTTGTCCTGCCGAGAATCGAGTGAAATTTGTTCACGAATTTCACCGCTTACGTTTCTTTCCAAACGTAATTACCGTTTCTCTTTTTCTTTTCTTCTTTTTCTTTCAAGTTAACCTCTTAGATGTGAATATACTGCGTGAGAGTAGCATTATACTCATGAAGAAACGACAATTTTTCTTTTTTTTTTTTTTTTTTTTGTAACGACCAGTACACTCGTAATTACAATTTGTTACTCAAGTTAAACTTTTCGTAGAAGATAAAACAATTTTAGAATATTTTGAAACTGGACTTTTGACTAGCTCTTCTTACATTGTTTCTGAATATTTTTCTTGCTACTAATGTTAATTATCATGAATATTTTGTGGATAAGAAAAAAAGTATTCGTAAATTTCAGATATTTTAGGATATTTTGAAACTAGACTTTTGACTAGTTTCGTTATCATTTCCTAGCTAATAACATTAACTACTGTTATAGTCTCTTACTTACAATATTGATCAAATTGAACAATAAAATTATTGATTTCTCAAAAGCTAGTGTTATCTCCTTATAATTCAATTCAATGTTACAATTGACACATACACTTTTGAAAGCGTGTGACCACAGCTGAGAGGTTAATCTTTACGTCTTATCTGCAAAGACTCGATAGAGTCACGCTGCTCCATTTTCGCCCGGGTTTCGGTTGATACGCCGCCTGATCGTCAGGTGTTGGCGCGCGATGACACAACGCAAACAACCGGTAACGCGAACAACAGATTTTCGGGGCATGTGTTCCACTCTGACGTGACATGACATGACGTGACGTGGCGTTGGTTGAAATACGCTCGGTCTAACGCCGAGTTGATAGAACCCGAGTGCCGTACGTTGTCGCGAAGAGATAATCTCTGGGAACCTAATACGAAAGCAAGAAGCCTGTGCACCTCTTCCTGACAAACAAACAACCCACGAAAACGAACGAAGGAATCTCAGCTTGTATGAGACCTGACGTTGATCCTACAAGCTCTTTCCTAAGCTTGGAAACATCCACCGTCTCGAGCGGAACGTCCGTTCCATTCGAGATATCTCTCGGGTGGAGGAAGGCTAGGTCCGCGGCAGGGGATCTATCGGAAGAGCGATTAATCAATTACCATGCCGGATCTCCGCAGCCGGGCTGCAGGAAGAGGCGGTTGCTTCTAATAACGTGTCGATATGAATCCGATCGGCCAGCCAGCCGCCCCGTTCTCTCTATACGCTCAAACGTATAAATAACACGTTAGACAGCAGGCAGCGCGCGGCTTGCAGCGGCCTGCGCGTACAAGATTGACGTAAGCAAGAAAGGTAGGAGCTAATAACGTTCGACGTACGCGCGTAAGATATATATCGGACGTTAATGGCTTAATACAATGGAAAGCCTCGGTT